TGTTAATTCTTCCAGTCCATGGGCACGGTATATGCTTCCCTTTGTTTGTATGTTCCATAATTTCTTTCTTCAATGTTCTGTAGTTTTCTGAGTATAGGTCTTTTATCTCCTTGGTTAAGTTTATTACTAGGTACTTTATTTTTCTTGTTGCTATAATAAATGGGATTTGTTTCCTAGTTTCTCTTTCTGATATTTCATTATTGGTGTATAAATATGCTTTCAATTTCTTAATAGTGACTTTATGTCCTGCTCTTTTGCCAAATTATCTTATTAGGTTGAGTAGTATTTTGGTGGAGCCTGTAGGGTTTCCTGTGTACACTATCAGGTCGTCTGCAAATAGTGACAGTTTTACTTCTTCCTTTCCAATTTGATGCCTTTTATTTCTTTTTCTTGTCTGATCACTGTGGCTAGAACTTTAGACACTACATTGAATAGAAGTGGTGAAAGTGGATACCCTTGTCTTGTTCCTGATCTTAGGGGGAAAGCTTTTAGTTTTTGCTTGTTGAGTATGATGTTGGCTGTAGGTTTCTCATATATGGCCTTTATTATGCTGAAGTGTTCTCCCTTTACTCCCACTTTGCCGAGGGTTTTGTATCATGAATGAATGCGGAACTTTATCATAATGCTTTTTCAGCATCTATTGATATGATCATGTGGTTTCTGTCTTTCATTTTTTTAATGTGGTGTGTTATGTTTATTGATGTGAATGTTATACCATCCTTTCATCCCTGGGATGAGTCCCACTTTGAATTTATCTTGATTGGGACCCTCTGTGCTCCCAGGACTTATATAACTTTTTCTCTCATCAAGTTAGGAAAGTTTTCTGTCATTACTTTTTCAAACAGGTTTTCTAATCCTTGCTTCTCCTCTTCTTCCTCCGGTATTCCTATGATATGGACATTATTACGTTTCATGTTGTCCTGCAGCTCCCTTAAACCCTCTTCATTCCTTTTTGTCTTTTTCCATTTTGTTGCTCTGTCTGGGAATTTTTTTTCCTACTTTGTCCTCCAGCTCACTGATTTGATCCTCTGCGTAATCTAGCCTGCTGTGAATTCCTTCTCCTCTGTTCTTTGTTTCAGATATTGTATTCATTTCTTCCTAGCTCTTACTGATACTTTTTGCATCCTTTTTCATGCTAGTGTAATTTGCAATACATTCTTTGTAACTTCCCTAGGGTCCTTTGTAGTTCTTACCAAGCTCATTGAGCATCCTTATAACCATTATTTCAAGCACAATATCTGATAGTTTGCTTGCCTCAAGTTCACTTACCGAGATTCCTCCTTTCCTTTAAGTTGGGGGTGGTTTCTTTGTTTCCCTAGGGGCTCTTCTTGTTTGTTTCTGCTTCCTAGATTGATCTGCCTTGACTCTCTGTCTTTGTGGTATGATTTCTATGGTAGGAAACTTGTGGCATTCAGTGGTGCTGTCTCCTTGATCTCTTGAACTTGATGCTCTTGGTCTGTCCTTAATGTTGTTTATGTGGGCTCTCTGGTTGTAATTGGGTTTTGGTTGTTGGGTTGTTCTTTGGTGGATCCTTTCCTCAGGTTGGCTGACTGAGAGTCACTCCTTCCACCATGCCTTGTATGCGGTTGTATAGGTGCTGACAGAACAAAACCAAACAGCCTAGGAAACAAACCCACACCTGCAAAATTAACCCTCACAAACAATCACAGTATCAGTAGCTAAGGAGCCAGTGTTACTGTATTTTGCTGTGTATAATACACACCAACATTTTTGGTATAAACTTTCGGGAAAAAAATCTTTAATATTTTAATTCAATATTTTATTTATTCACATTTAGAAACCAATTTTCATTTTCCTGGATATTAGTTTGCATAAGGGTATCATTGTTTTCTAGAGGTACACTTTTAATGCATAAGCATAAATAAAATAATTAAAAACATTTCTATAGATACAAAGTTAGTACTATTCATGTATAATATTCATCCTTATTTTTCCCCTCTATAATTTGGGCAAAGAAAGTGTGCATTATACATGGTAAAATATGGTAATAAAGGTATAAAGAGATTAAGACTATCATAAGAAAGAAAAAACAAATATGAGATGACTAAAAGAAAAATTATTTTGAAAGTGTAGAGGAAAGAGCAATGATAAGAGTAGGAAATAAGAACAAGGTGAAGAGAGAAAGAAAAATTTACCTCATAAATAAAAAAGGGCGGGAAGAAAGTGGAATGGAGTAAGAGAAAGGCAGTGTGTAGTACTTGGATTAAACAGAAATTAAAAAACTTTTTTTAAAAAGGTAGAGAAGAAAGAAAAATAGGAACCAAATTGGATAAGAAGATCCATCACAGCACTGTCAACAACGAGCAAAGATTAATATAGGTGGAAGGGAATAAGAGGGAAAACAGAAAGAAGGAAATCTTAAGAGATGTCTAAAGGAAAGAGAAGTGATTTTGATATGATAGAGGAAGAAGGACTACTAAAAGTGAGAAATGAAAACCAGGCTAAGACAGGGAAAAATTAAAATTTAAAATGAAAAAGAGAAAGGGCAGGAGGAAGGCAAAATGGAATAGGAGAGGGGGAGTGGTAAAATTTGATATTTGAAATATAATAGTGAAGATCTAGAAATAAAATTGGAGAGGTGCAACAACCACCACGTTACCCACAGCCGATGAGCAAAAATTGATAAAGGTGCAGAGAGGACAAATATTTTAAGAATGGGAAAAAGAATGTGAAATGACTGATGACAGAAAAATGATTTTGAGAGGCTAGAGGGGGAAGAAATAGTAAAAAGTGTGGAATGGAAACAAGTGGTAGCAAGAGAGAAAATATAATTTAAAATGAAAATAAGAGGAAAGAAGAGGTAAAATGGAGTAAGAGAAGGGAGGAGCAAAATATGAGATTTGAAATAAACTATAATGTAAAATTTAGTGACTTAATATGCACAAACTTGAAGGACAAGAAATGAATGTTAACAAGCTGCGCAGGAGAGAAAATAATGTAAATCACGAAGAACATGGTGGAATTCGTTTCTCTGCTTTCTCTTTCTGAATTGGCCCTTGGTTTTGTCAAATGTGTCCCAGTCTGGCCTTAGTAGGCATCCTGTTCGAGACTAAGAGTGATCCACAGTCTGTGGCAGTCTTCTTCCATTGTTAATCTAGTCACGCTGCACTCAGCAGACAGGCTTAAGCACTATAGGTTGGGGCAGAGTAACTCCTGGGGATGGGGCTATCACCTCCCCTCAGGCTGATGCCACTCAGGAGACTACTCTGCCTGAGCAAGATGGCTTCTGCAGTATCGATGATGACTCAACACAGGGATCCTAGCAGCTGCTCCCTTAGTTCTCTTCCCAAAGCCTCTGTCCCCAGACCCTCCTCCAACATCACTAGTCCACTCTGTTCCCCCTTTGCTGGAGCTCAGGGTAAGGGGCTGCAAACAAAATTATGTGCGTTCCCTCTTTAGAAGGCTCTGTGTGACTCCAGCCACCTCTTCCTGGCAGAGAGAAACAGCTGGATGTTTTTTGGGTGTCTTTCCTGGCTCTCGTGCTATAGGCATGGGAGCCCTGCTTGGAATTTAGATCCCACACTTCTCAGGGGGAATCCCCACCCCCAGCCACTGAATTTCTCTCTGGCACTTCAGCTCCCACCTCTGGGACCCAGCTAGCCCTCTTGAGTCTCCTCTGCACTCCCTACCAGTTACATGGTGGTGAAGAGGTTTCTTCCATCTGTCAGTGGTTATAAGGCTCCAGCTGTTGTTCCATTGGTTTTTCCAGATGATTTCTCTACAATTTAGTTGTAATTCCAGATTGGTCCTGGAGATATTTTATGAAGATATCTCTAAATTTGTGTGGAGATTACAGTGGAGGAAGTCAACAGAGAAGGGATGGAGAATAGATATGAAGTCTTCACACAGTCCAAATGGGAGATGAGATTTTAATTAGAGTGGTAGCATTGGAGATGGAAATAAGTAGGGGTTTTGAGATAATTAAGTTAGTAATCATGACAGATGTTGGAGGCTGACTGGAGTTAGGGCCTAAGAAATGACAATGTGTTAAGGAAGAGTTTATGTTTATATTCAGTTAATTGGTAAAGGTGGAGGATCACAAGTTCTTTAAAACTCTATAAAGATGTAGCTCTCGATTTTTGTATTTTTACTGTAATATGCAGTAGTTGATACACTGCTCTTCATCATTGTACTAGAAATTAGATGAAATGTATTAAAAGTTATGTAATTTTCCTATAATAAAAATCATACCTCAAAATTTAAGTGTATTCACATTATTTTGCAGTTTGTACAATGATGAAGACTTAAAGGGCAGACATTGTTTTCCCTAAAAAAAGCTAACCCTGGTTTAATAGTATTTTTAAGTACACCCATTTAGTTGTTTTATCTGGGGAAAATCTTAAAAATTACTCATAGTTATTTCTATTAATTTTAATCATTTTCATGGCAATAGTTCGGTAAATTTAATGGCAGCACACAAAAACATTGATTAAGTGCTACCAGATGTGACTTTTCAGAATGTTTTAGTGAGCTTTTTCTTTCTTGATGCAATAACATAAAATTAATGTCACTTTCTAAACTTTACTAATTTTCTTTTTTGTTTAATAATTAAGTAGCATTGCACTATGCCTGTATGCCTATAGATCCATATGCCTGTATGAACTGCTATATGTAACACAAAGTAGGGTACGGATTTGTTTTAACACAGCTCTTCAAGTTCTTACGACTGTTGGAATTTGGGTTAGTTTAGTTTTTAAAAATTTGCTAGCGAATTAGGAAACCTGATTTTTAGGTTCTAGTTGTATTTCCATTTCAGCTTGCCTGAGCAGCTTAACATTCTATTTTCCTAATTTTTCACATCAGAGAGGTGTAATATAAGTTGGTTTGAGAAATGATAATAGTTAAAAATTACTCCGGGAAATGTATGGTTATGCAATAATTCATTCAGAGAAATTGAATAACTTTAGAAGTAAAAGTGAACGAAGTTACAGAAATTTCATTTTACACATATAGCTTATTTTGGTGTGTTCTGGCTTTAGGGCGAATGGCACCACCTGTAGATGATCTTTCTCCGAAAAAGGTGAAAGTTGTTGTTGGAGTATCTCGTAAACATTCAGACAATGAAGCAGAAAGTATAGCAGATGCGTTGTCTTCAACCTCGAATATTTTGGCTTCTGAATTCTTTGAGGAAGAGAAACAGGAGTCTCCAAAGTCTACATTCTCTCCTGCTCCACGGTAATTTTCGCTTAGTCATAATTTCTATAATAATCATTATAAATATTTGCCAACTTGTACTTTGAGGCTTTCCAAAACATAAAAGTAACATTTCTTTAGGAACCTTTATTTTTGAAAGTAACTTTATGTCTCTGTGCTCTAAACTACTTGAGATAAAAGAACAAGACTGGGAAAATTAATTTAGAGATTTGAATATGTGGGGACTTGACTATAAAACTCGCTTTAATTATGCTTGTCCCCAAAGGCAGAAGAAAGGTCATTAAAGAAAAATTGTTTTCACTTCTGGACATGAGTCGGCCTAAGCAAACGACTATGGATGACATTGTAAAACAGGACTATATAAATATGTGTATAATTTTATAAAGTGAAAATAGAAACTCTTTAATCTTCTTGACCTGCTAAAATAGGAATAATTGATGACTAATTAGAAAATGCATTTATTCATGAGCATATCTTTAGGCTGAGAACTTTTTAATGTCATTTTTTTAGTCCAGAGATGCCTGGAACTGTTGAAGTTGAGTCTACGTTCCTAGCTCGATTGAACTTCATCTGGAAAGGTTTTATCAACATGCCTTCTGTGGCAAAATTTGTTACCAAAGCCTACCCAGTGTCTGGTTCCCCTGAGTACCTGACAGAGGTAACTGAACTTCTTCATTCTTTTCTGCCTTTCTTGACATGTTTCTGAAAGCAGTAGGTAAGGAAACAGCATAATAAAATAATAAAAATATTAACTAGTAATAATGATATTTTATTTTCATTCATAATAAAAATATTTATTGACAGTGTTACTTAAACCATTCAATTAATTGACTTATGAGTTCCTGAATGCAATTTTAGAACTATAGAAAACTGCTCTGAAAGTGTTAAAACCACATGTTAGATATCTAAGTTTTTGTTTAAATACAATTTTTGTTTAAACATTGTAGCTTTCAGGAAGTTTATTCATTTTTAACAAGCCTTTTAATTTCCCTTCTTCTTGTTTTCTCAACTTCATGACTACAATCCTTACCTGTTTCTATGAACAAGATACAGACTGTAGTTGAAACTGTACGCTAGTTGACACTTTCATGAGAACAATGACCAAAATTGCTGTAGTAGTGCCCTCAGTTGATTTTATATCTGAGTTAATAAGGCAGGAACTATTTATGGAAAATAAATAGCTGTAGTGTTGTAGTATTATGGTAAATGAGAAAATACGATATTTTTGGAACACTGAAAGCTTGTATGTTTCACTGTTTATGCAAAAGGAAAAACGTCAGTTCTTGTGTACTATATTTTCATTGAGATATTTTGTTATCAGTCATGTTCCAATCTAACATCAACCTTTTGCATTTATTCTCAGTCCACTGACTATACAGGCAAACGGTGAAAAAAATTTTTTCAGTATTTTAGAAAGCCAAAATCATATGTATTTCTTATTTTTTTTGACTACCATAAATTTTACTTTTCCTGGTATTAGAATGAAATTAGTTTAATTAAATTGAAAGTTGCTTATCTGATATTGATCAGTTTGTCTAGCAGTTGTGTTTTTTATTAATGAACCATCTAATTACTACTTTCACATATTGTTTGCTTGGCAAATAATATTTTAGAAATACCAGTTTTATGAGAGAAGGATTAAAAAGACTCGTGATGCTTTTCGTTTTGAACACATCTATTTAGAAACTTAGTCTCTGATTAGTCCATTGTTAACATTACTCTTCTTATAAATGGAGGATTAAGTCCTAGACTATGGAACTTTTTGATTTTAAACAAAACTGTTATTCTTTCCGAGCCTGTTTCTATCTGATTGCTTTCCAGAATCCTACTTCTACTTTCTACATATTTTTTATTTGGTTGGGACCACAGCCCCAAATAAACTACTTAAATAATTTAAATAAATTTAAGTGAACTTATTATCAATTAATTATATTATTTATGATTTTTTGAGTCTTCATGGGAAACAATTATAGTGATTTAAGTTTTAAATATTCTGTTTTTTGAAGTACATTTTATTGATTATTCTATTACAGTTGTACCAGTTTTCTTCTCCCCTTTCTACCCCTCCTCCCTGCATCCTCCCACCTTCTACCGTTCTCCCCGACCCCCCTTAGTTCATGTCCATGAGTCGTACATATAAGTTCTTTGACTTCTCCATTTCCTATATTATTCTTAATCTCCCGCTGTCTATTTTGTGCCTACCAATTATGCTTCTTATTCCCTGTACCTTTTCCCCCATTCTCAGTTTGTTGTCATTTTACTGTTCTTAGTTTTTGATCTTTTCCTTTTACTTAGATAAATCCCTTTAACATTTCATATAATAAGGGCTTAGTGATTGACTTGACTTTATCTGGGAAGCACTTTACCTGCCCTTCCATTCCAAATGATAGCTTTGCTGGATAGAGTAATCTTGGATGGAGGTCCTTGGCTTTTCATGACTTTTAATACTTCTTTGCCAGCCCTTTCTTGTTTGCAAGATTTCTTTCGAGAAATCAGCTGAGAGTCTTTTGGGAACTCCTTTGTAGGTAATGTTTCTTTTTCTCTTGCTCTTTTTAAGATTCTCTCCTTATCATTCATCTTGGGTAATTAAATTATAATGTACCTTGGTGTATGCTTCCTTGGGGTCCATATTTCCTTGGCCAGATTGGGGATGTTCTCCTTCTTCATTTTTTCAAATAAGTTTTTATTTTCTTGCTTTTCCTCTTCTCACTTTGGTACTCCTATGATTCAGATGTTGGAACATTTAAAGTCCCAGAGGTTCCTAAGCTTCTGCTCATTTTTTTGATTTCTGTTTGCTCTTTCTGTTCTGGTTGAATGTTTATCTTTTTCTTCTGCTCTCTCAATCGTTGATTTGAGTCCTGGTTCCCTTCCTTTTACTGTTGGTTCCCTGTATGTTTTTCTTTATTTCACTTCTCATAGCTTTCACTTTTTCCTCCATTTTGTGACCATACTCAAGCAGTTCAGTGAGCATCCTGATTACCAGTGTTTTGAACCATGCATCTGATAGGTTGGCTATCTCTTCATGCTTTGTTCCATTTTTGGAGCTTGATCTGTTCTTTTATTTTGGGCCATATTCCTTTATCTCAGCTCACCTGTTCTGTTGAGAGGGACAGAGTCTTGGGTGCTCGCCAGGGCAGGGCAACCCAGGTGACTGCGTTATGACACTGTGTGTGGGGGAGGGGTCCAAGAGAAAAACAGTGCAACTTGCTGGGCTCTCACCTGGCTTTCAGTCACTTCTCCTGCTACCCACAAGCAAATTGGGTACTTCTAGTGCTGATTCCAGGATGGGTGGGTTTGTGTACATTCTAGGACCCCGTGGGTCTCTCCAGCAGACTCTCCTTTGAGGCTCAGAGTTTCTCCTGCCACCGCAACCCCCACAGGTTTTTACCTCCAGAGGGTTTGAGGCTTTCTTTTCCTACACTGGAACCCTGGATTGCGGTCTTTCTTGCTTCCCAGCTATTCCTCACAGTTGATCTGCACACAACTGTAGGTCCTCCGGTCTGCCAGCTGCTGCCTCACCCACCCTGTGTTCCAGCTGCTACCTTGCTGTGCGTCCTCTCTGCCCAGGCTGCCCATCTCTGCCCTTCCAACCAGTCTGGGTCAGTGTTTCTTCTTTAGCTCCTTGGTTGTCGGACTTCCATGCAGTTTGATTTTCTGGCAGTTCTGGTTATTTTTTAGTTTTAAATTTGTTGTTGTCCTTCTTTTGGTTGTGAGAGAAGGCAAAGTACATCTGTACCTATACCTCCACCTTGTCTGGACCTTTTTCTGGAGTTTTGATCTGTTCTTTCATTTGGGCTATATTTCTTTGTCTTGGCATACCTGTTAACATTGGAAGGGGAAGAGCCGCAGGCATTTGCCAAGGTGGGCAACCCAGGTCACTGTGTTGTGACGCTGTTTGTAGGAGAGGGGTCCAAAAGGGAACAATGCTGCTTGCTTGGCTCTTGCCCCACTCTCTGTCACTTCCCTCGCTTCCCACAAGTATGTTGTGCTGATTCACAGGTACGTGGGTTTGTGTACATTCTAGGACCGCGTGCAACTCTGCAAGGGACTCCTGTGAGGCTGGGGGTTTCTCCTGCTGCTGCAACTCGTACAGATTTTTACAGCCATGGGTTTTGAGTTTTCAGTTTCTAGTGCTGGAACCCTGGGTTTTGTGGCCTGTCTCACTCCCCCATTGTTCCTCCTGGTTTATCTGCATGAGAAGTTTATCTACAGAGTCTGCCGCCTTGCCTTACCTTGCTGTGCGCCCTCTCTGCCCCTGTCACCGCCCCTCCTACCAGTCTGGATGAGTGTTTCTTTAACTCCTTGGTTGTCGGACTTCCATACAATTTGATTTTCTGACAGTTGTGAGTGTTCTTTATTTTTAAATCAGTTGTTATCCTTCTTTTGGTTGTGCAAAGAAGCAAAGCATCTCTGCCTACACTTCCATCTTGGCCGGACTCAAGTTTTAAATATTCTTAATTGCACATATTGATTTTATTTGTAATGATTGTTTCCAGAAAAATTGTGCCTTTTTAAAAACATGAGCCTTATATTATCACAATAATCTTTTCTGTACAAGAATGTTCCTTATAATCAAACCTAACTTCCGAAATCAGCTATTAATGATAAAGGCACCACCCCTGCCCACTACCAGCTGTGGATGTGGGAGGGGAAAAACAATCTCCTCTAATATTCTAAAATCTGCTGCATTTTTCCTGGATTTTCAATGTGGTGTGCTTCTACTACTTCTCTTTCCTGCTGATAATGAACATGACCTGATTTTGTTTCTTAACTGTTGTTTGGCATCCATGTAGTCATTTGGAATTGACATTTGAGGTAGAGCCTAATTGCTATCTCTGCATTCTTAAACAGTTTCTGGTGATTCATACCATAATCTTTCTATTTACTTTTTCTTTTATTACCATTTCATATTAGTCATGAGCGAATTGTGAGTATTTATGATGATCCGTATACATTGATCACCTTCATTTTTTTACCACAGGATCTACCAGATAGTATTCAAGTAGGTGGCAGGATATCACCTCAGACTGTTTGGGATTATGTGGAAAAAATTAAAGCATCTGGAACCAAGGTAAAGAAAACTCTTTTTATGATACCAGTTTGACAGATGATTTAAAACATAAAACACTGAGTTCTTATGCAAGGTCTTCTGGGGAGGGAACCAAAACAAATTTTAATCTAAATACTATACCTGATAAAACTGAACTGAAGCCATTTGCTAAAGCTCAAAGCAGCCCATCATTCCTTTTGCAGATTCTGCCCCCCCACCCCCTTGCTCTGCTTTCTCAATGGCTTCTTAAGTGTTTTGGAAGAAATGTTTTAGAGTAAATATTGAGACTCATCGTGGAATTTTGTCTTGCTTTGAGTATAGACATTTGTTTAAATTAGGTTATAGGCTAAGCTGCTGCAACAGAAGCTCTAAAATATAATGGCTCAAAAAATACTGCTGTGTAATTTTTTATTATGTTAGGAAGGTCATTCATTTGGAGTGGTTCAGCAGCTCTGGTTTTACAAATCATTCAGGGACCAGCCTTCTCTGTCTTATAGTTTTGTTGGTTCTGAGAGTGTTGTCCTTTTCAGTCAGACATGGTCAGTGCTGATTTATCAGCATGAAGAAGGAAAAAAATGAATGCCTGCCCAGTTATTTTAAAAGCAAGACCTAGAAAGTGCAGTTATTTTTTAAAAATATGTTTATTTATTTGAGAGAGAGAGAGAAACACATTCATTTCTTGCTTCCTATATGTACCCCAACAGGGGATCGAACCCACAACCTAGGTGTGTACTGGGAATTGAACCTCTGATCTCTTGGTATATGGGACGATGCTCCAACCTACTGAGCCAGACCAGGGCTAGAAATTACAGTTATTTCACTTCCTCGATCTTCCATTTGTAGATTTAGTCACATAGCCTTATATTGCTGCTAAGAAGGCTGGTAAACGTAATGTATTAGACGGCCATGTGCCCAGCTAAAAGTTAAGGTCTTCTCTTCGTAATAGGAGGAAAAGAGGGGAATAGGTACTAGGAGATAATTATTAGCCTGTATCACAACAATATTTCCTTTTTTCTATTTTTTATTTTTTCTTTAAGTCATAGAACACTACAACACTGGAAAAATTAATTATTAGAAGAAATTATTTCTACCTTCAGGGATAATACCTAGCATGTTACAGACAATTAATAAATCTTGAATAAACATGATTTTTTTAATCGTTCTTAAAATAAGTCTATAGTAAGATTAGAAATAATCCAAAATGGATAATCTTGTACTGAAAAGAATATTTTTTCCAATGTAGATTTTAGAATTTAAACTGATAGAATACATATGAACTTTGAAACACTAAAAAAATTAACTGCATTTTTTTTGCTGTCACTTTTTCATGGCAGAAGTCATGAGCAAGTATCAGGTAGTATTACTCTTAGACATTTTAGGAATGATTCTTGATCTATCCAAACCTAACTGCCAAGCACTTTATATTATGCCTTCATCTTGCACTGACTGAAACATTACAATAGTCATTACTTCTGAAAGAGGGCAGTCTAGACTCTAAAAGTAGAGCCATATAAAGTTCAGCTCATTCACATGTTTTCTGTAGGATCTTGCATCAATTTAAGCTTTGCAGCAGATCTGGCTCTCCCTATTTTGACAATGTACTCTCATGAAAAAACATTCCCCCCGCCATTTTTTTTTTTTGGCACTACCAAATTGGGACTCTTTTTTTTCTCTGAAACAAAACCAAGAACCCAGAGGCAAGCAAATTAGTTCCTGAGTAAGCCAAATGACTTTACAAAATATTTGACCTATGTGTATTTGAGGTCTTTTCACCCAGCTCCTTTATTCCTAAATTCAGTCCCTTAAGATTGGGTTTTCAGTAGATTTGTGTGTATATATACATGGAAGGGTGGTCGTGATAGATGCTATTGATTTGCAATATGATGAAAACACAGGCATCCTTCCATGGAGGTTGTAACATTGGAAATAAAGATACAATATAGATACCAAAAACTTATGTTTAAATATCTTCTCTGCCACTGAAAAGTGTGTCACCTTGAATACATTAATTACCTTTGGACTCAGTTTCTTATGGGACACCTTCAGGTAAATCCATCAGTGGGTCAGCAAAGATCTTTTCCAAAGAGTTGTTTCTTTTTAGTATTATCTGCATTTAAGTTGGTAAACCATGTTATTTTATAACCATTATTATAAAATTCAATAGATTTTTACTAGTTGAGAAATGCTATTTAAAACCACCTTACTGTTTTTGTTATTATTTTGAACACCGACTTATTTTTTTGAATAGGAAATTTGTGTGGTTCGCTTCACACCCGTAACTGAAGAAGATCAAATTTCTTATACTTTGCTGTTTGCATACTTCAGTAGCAGAAAGCGCTATGGGGTAGCTGCTAACAACATGAAGCAGGTTAAAGATATGTACCTTATTCCTTTGGGTGCCACAGATAAAATACCACATCCACTTGTGCCTTTTGATGGACCTGGTAAGTATCTGTTTTAATAACATAACAGAGTGTGAATAAAACAAAGTGGGAGGTGGGAACAGTGAAAAGGCTTGACTTTAGTTTCTTTTTCAGGATCCAGGCCTTTAGAGCTGATTTGACAGGGAAAGGCACCCATTTAATAGGCTGCAGTAAGTTAGATGCAGAAATTTACTCCTCCACCCCTTTTTAAATGCTTATGTGTTTTGTTTTTTAAATCTTCACCTAAGGATGTGGTTTTTAAAAATATTTTTTAAAGATTTTTAATTTATTTTTTTAGAGAGAGGGGAAGGGCAGGAGAGGGAGAGAAATGTCAGTGTGCAAGGGAAACACTGATCCATTGCTTCTTGAAAGCCCTTAGCTGGGGACCTGGCCAGCAACACAGGCATATGTCTTGACCAGGAATTGAACAGGTGACCTGTCAGTTCACAACCTGGTGCTCAACCCACTGAGCCACACCAGCCAGAGCCCAAGGATATGTTTATTGATTATAGAGAGAGAGGAAAGGGGAGAGAGAGAGAAAGATCTGTTGGTTGCCTCCCCTATGTGCCCAACTGCGCATCGAACCTGCAGCCTAGGTATGTACCCTGAGCAGGAATTAACACAACCTTTTGGTGTATGGGATGTCGCTCCAACTAACTGAGCCACGTGGCCAGGGTGCAAAACTTTACTCTTTATTTTAATGATTGCAAGTGACTTAATTTATGTTTTTGATTTTATACAGGGCTCGAACTGCATAGACCTAATCTGTTGTTGGGCTTAATTATTCGTCAAAAACTGAAGCGGCAACATAGTGCTAGTGCCAGTGCCAGTCATACTGCGGAGACCTCTGAAAGTGTACCGATAGCATTGCCACCTGAGAAAAAAAGTAAAATAGAAGTTTCCACAGAGGAAGGACCAGAGGAAGAAAATGACTTTTTTAATTCTTTTACGACTGTATTACACAAGCAGAGAAATAAGCCTCAGCAAGCTCTTCAGGAAGACCTTCCAACAGTAATGGAACCTTTAGTGGAAGTCACCAAACAGGAGCCCCCAAAACCTTTAAGGTTTCTTCCTGGGGTATTGATTGGCTGGGAAAATCAGCCTTCTACTATGGAATTAGCAAATAAACCTCTCCCTGTGGATGATATACTTCAGAGCCTTCTGGGCACTACTGGTCAAGTATATGAACAGGCTCAGTCAGTGCAAGAACAAAACACTCTTAAAGAAATTCCATTTATAAATGAGCACGCCAACCCCAAAGCAGAGAAAATAGATAAAGTAGAAGCAACCGATGGTGAAGCTAAGGAGTTAAAGGTTAAAGTAGATAATCTTGCAGAACCTACAGGTAATTCAGGACTAATAGGAGAAGAAACCTCAGTAATGGGGCCCTCCTCTGTTTCTCCTGGACCTTTGACCAGTCTTAGTCTCAGAGGTAAACCACCCGATGTTTCTACAGAAGCATTCCTAACAAATTTATCAATTCAGTCAAACCAAGAGGAAACTGTGGAGAGTAAAGAGAAAACATTAAAAAGACAGCTGCTGCAAGATCAAGAGAATAATTTGCAAGATAATCAGACTTCAAATAATAGTTCTCCATGCAGGTCGAATATAGGAAAAGGAAACACAGATGGTACTGTGAGTTGCAGTGAAAACCTTGTTGCGAATATGGCAAGGTCCCCACAGTTTATCAATCTGAAAAGGGATCCTAGGCAAGCGGCAGGACGAAGTCAGCAGGTAACTGCTTCAGAAAGCAAAGATGGAGATAGTTGCGGGAATGGAGAAAAGCACACCCCGCCTGGTCTGTCACAAAAGGAGCACTTAACAGAACAAATCAATATAGAGGAAAAAGTGTCTTCTGTAGAGAAGAACTCAAGTGTTCAGCAGAGTGATAATTCAGGGGTTGCACAAAACTCAGCATCAATAGAAGACACTTCTCAAATAGAACAAGCAAAACCTGTAGAGGACAATATTTTAATGCAAAATATTGAAACTGTGCACCCATTTCGAAGAGGATCGGCAGCAACGTCTCATTTTGAAGTGGGAAACACGAGTCAGTCAGAATTTCCTTCTAAAAGCATCAACTTCACTTCTAGAAGCACCAGTCCCAGAACAAGTGCAAACTTTCCACCCATGAGGCCACAGCAACCCAACCTTCAGCATCTCAAGTCTAATCCCCCTGGATTTCCATTTCCAGGGCCTCCTAATTTCCCCCCACAAAGCATGTTTGGATTTCCACCACATTTGCCTCCCCCATTACTTCCCCCTCCAGGCTTTGGCTTTGCTCAAAATCCCATGGTTCCCTGGCCACCTGTTGTTCATCTGACAGGCCAGCCTCAGCGTATGATGGGTCCTCTTTCACAAACATCAAGGTATATAGGCCCACAAAATTTTTATCAGGTTAAAGACATTCGAAGGCCAGAAAGGCGCCATAGTGACCCTTGGGGTAGGCAAGACCAACAGCAACTGGATAGGCCATTTAATAGGGGCAAAGGGGATCGACAGAGATTTTATAGTGATTCACACCACTTGAAAAGAGAGCGACATGAAAAGGAATGGGAGCAAGAATCCGAAAGGCATAGACGCAGAGACAGAACCCAGGACAAGGACAGAGACAGAAAAAGCAGGGAGGAAGGGCACAAAGATAAAGAGAGGGCACGGTTATCACATGGTGATCGAGGATCAGATGGAAAAGCAAGCAGAGATAGTAGGAATGTAGACAAAAAACCTGAGAAACCTAAAAATGAAGACCATGAAAAGGACAAAGAACGAGAGAAAGGTAAACATAGAGAAGGAGAAAAGGACAAAGATAGGTACCACAAAGATAGGGACCACACTGACAGAGCTAAAAGCAAAAGGTAAAATATGCGGGCTGCTTCCAGATTACATTTAAGTCAATGTTAAATGTTGTATCTTTAGAACTTTATGATTGCCTGCTAGGATTGTGCCATCTTTCAAATTTTTAATGTTGGTGGTTTGCAGAACCATAAACTCTGTGTGTTGGTGCAGAGTGCTCTGTACCAGTGCTAATCATCCCTCCTTTGTACCAACTGTCTCTAGTAATAGGAATTTAATATTTTTAAAAGTTTTACATTGCTGTATATTCAAAGATTTGTTTTATTAATATACAATAAAGGCTTAGAAATTTTAGTTTTATTCCTTAATTGGTAAATATGGTTAACTATGGAATATATTTACTGCCTCTAGTGAATGTTCTTTATATGACTAATTTGAGAGTAATGTGTGATCTGTAAGTTTGTTTTAAATTGCACTGTTTTTAAAGAAACTATAGAGAAGCAAGAAAAAGGCAAGCGACTTCATAACCAGATTATATTAATCAGTTTCTTGAGCATTTTTTGACCAAGAATGAGAATCCCAAGGAGTACATTTACTGCTTTAATCTGCACTCATTGAAGGCATTTATTATCATATATACTACAGCTTTGTGGTAGGCCATTATTTTCCTTTTCTTTTTTGGCTCTTCAGAAACTTGAATACTTAAGCTTGTACATGATATTGTGTTTTGCTATCCTTTTTACTGTAAAATGTAAATATTTTAAGGGATATTTTGATTCTAAATACGATAAAAGAATTTCTCACCTATTTTGTGTGTGTGACTTGAAATTCAGTAGTAAAAGAATTTCTTCTTTAAAGCTTTAATAACCTTCAGACATTGTTTTTTTTACTCAGCCAAGAACATACATATAAGCATAACTATGTGTCAGGCATTAGATGAGGAGGAAACTGATTTCTTTGTCTTAAGTTATAGGCTGTTGATAAAAATCATGTAGTTCTGAAGAGGCTAGAATTTAGAACTACCAGTGAAAAACTGCAGCTGTAGCCCACTTTATAGAAATGTTTCTGAAGACTTGATACTATCAAAATTTGGTACACTGACTAATCATTGTAAGACCACAGAACTTTTATTTACAAGAAACATTGTGGATCTCTTTGTAAAATGTGTAATTAACCCTAATTTTTTTGGTGGGGGGATGGTAACTGCAATTTCATATGCTGGCTTTGCTTCAAATGCAAAGCACATGGAGGCTATTGTTAATACAAATCTAAATTTATTTCCAATGTAACTACATACTGTATTGATACAATTTAAAACAATGGCTACCAAATGATATTAGCACTTGAGGCCAAAAAAAGAGGAGAGAAAAGCTAGTAATTTACCTTGTCTATATTAATGAAGAAAAATAAAAAATGGCTTCACAAAATTAAGAGGTAATAATAATGTTTGGTTTCCTAAAAAGTCTAAGGATTAGAGTTAAAAATACATTTTGAAATGGAATCAGCTTTGTTATTCTCACTGGAGAGATAAGGAATGGAAATTTAAAACCATACATTTTGTCTAATTTTAACAAATTGCATCTTTTTTTTTGTCATCCTTATCACCTCTGACATTTTTTATCATAAAAGTTCTGAAACAGAGGACTTGTATTTAAATAAAATTTGTTTAATTTTGGTCTACTTTTTTTTTTTTAATGAACTTATTAGAAAGCAGTCTACAAGCAAACAAACCGTCAGTGGGTCATCTTTTACACCATTATAAAGAAATTGTTACCAGGATTCCTTCCATCTCACCCACCCCCTGTTTCAAAAAAAACCCCACCCAGATCCTCCAAAATTCGCTTTTTGATTTCAAATATGTATGTTGTCAGCAAATCTGATTTATCTGGTTGGGGGTGTTGACCAGACACGGATTTCTTTTGCATAGTACAAGTAAAAAATGGGTAAACCAGTGGATGAAAACCTTAAAATCAGTTTTTGATTGCCTCTTAGGCAGTAATTTCCTATATATACTGTTGTGATGCTTGCTTTAAAATTATTCATATCTCATTGGACCTTGACACATCCCATATAGATCCCTATTAGTGATGACCATCTCCTGTTATTTTAGGGCTACTAAGTATTAGAATCATGTCTCAATCCCTGGTTAACTGAAACTTTGGCAAGTAGGGAGAGTATGGGCATATTGACTGAGGTTTTAACTTCTGAGAAATGTAAGTAAAAGTGAGAAAAGTTTTCAATGAATAGTAGATCCAAAGCCATTCTTGGTCCTTATGTCTCTCCTACAGCCAGCGTTCTACAAACTAGTGAGTTATATGAAGTTCATCTTTGTTTCTCCTGTTTTCAGGAAAACTTGTTCTTTTAAAAAAATGTGATGCTTTCAGAAATTTAGAACCATCTTAAGACAGTTTTATACATATCTCTATTAAGTAAAATGTACTAGAGTGTTTTAGTATCTATTAAGTCTACCCTTTGTAATCCTTGTGGCAACAAGAAAGGTTCCGTGAATCCTGCGTATTGCAAACATGTTGAACACGTCATGTCATACAAACCTTGATCAGTTTGAATGGTAAAGACTTAGAGCTGAGGGAACTGGTACTTAGAAAAGTTGAAAAACCTGACCCACATTAGACTGCTGTAATCAAAGCTGGGATTCTAGCTTGGCTGAGTATGGGTGGCAGTTGCCCTTTGAGAATTGAGAGGAGGACAGAGGGACAGGAACCTGGTTATTATGTTTTTCTCTGCAACTGACTCCTCAAAGTGAGCAGGATGATAAAACCAAAGACCTGGGGATACGCTTGTATGGATTCGTAAAGTTTATGCTCATCTCAAATACTAACTCTCCAGGCCCTATTTTATATTGCTGTTATGACAAATTATTAAAAATTTAGTGGCTCAAAACCACACAGGTTTATTATTTTAAAACTTCTGTAAAACAAATCTGATGTGGATTCAGTGGGTTGTGATCAAGATGTGTCAGGAGGGTGCATTTTCTGGAGGCTTTAGAGGAGAATCCATTTCCTGGCCTTTTCCAGCTTCTAGAGTCCACCCACCTACTTGGCCCTTCCTTCATCTTCAAAACCAGCAACATGGGCCTGAGTCTCATATCGCTGACTCTGACTCCCTTCTGGGTCTCTCTCCCAATTTTAAGGGCCCGTGTGGTTACTGGGGCCCACGCAGATAATGCAAGATACTCTTGCTTTTTTGAAGGTCCCCTGATGAGCACTTAAATTCCATATGTGACCTAAGTTCCCCTTTTCCATGTAACCTAACATCTTTACAGGTTTCAGGTATTAGGATGTAGACAACTTTGGCGGCAGGGTGGGGCGGGTTATAGTCTGCTTACCACAGCTCTTCATTCACTAAATGTAACTTTGTTGTGGGTGGATTAATCTTTAAAGTTTTGGAGTGGCAAAACATCTAAGGCCATAGTAAATACATTTAAAAGTGAAGGAAAAATAATACCAACAATAGAAAATAGAATGGAATGGCAGGTTAAGCCACTTGGATTTTAACATGTTCATGTATTACAAAAATGGTTAATTTTTACTCACCTGTCCTTAGTTTTTAGTATAGTAGTTGTGTTTTTAAAGGATATTAATCAAGTTTAAATGCATTATAAGAGTTTCCTAATGAATCACATAGTAAAGCAAATAGTTTATATAATTTTCACATTTGAATATATCAGTTGCACTGTTCCCATCTCAGATTCTTCTAAAACAATGGTCAGGTTACCACTTTTTAATGACTACAAAGGGCAATGTATGTATATAACCAGCCCTTGACTTTTGTCTCCCAAAGCAAGTCACAAATAAAATTGGTTGCTGCTTTTAAAACGGTGCCAAATACCCTGATTCTTTGATTCCTGTTTCATAAAGAATTTCACTTATTAATTCATGTATAGAGCAAGAGAGTACATGAATAAATGAGCTGAAAAACATTAGGCCAATAGCTAGATCTGTTTTGAAAACTTGAGCCCACTGTTCATTTATAGATGCAGAGCTAAGTCACTGGAGGAAACCCCAGGATATATACTTAAGGAAAAGGCAGTGAATCCAGTACAACTCCCAGTATCGCCAAATACCTTTATGAAATTTTTCCAGGAACTTCAAAGGGAATCTTTAAAAGGTAAATATTGCCAACCCCCAGCTTAGGTACTTCAGCTCAATTTAAACAGTGTTCTCATGTTGATTATTTAACACACTCAGAAGCATCATTTATAGTAATTTCTTAAAGGTCTTTATTGATTGTTATTTAGTGCTGGAAAGGCATCTCACATAAGTCTTAAACATCGCTAGGGTAGCAAAAACAAATGTTGATAATTTACCACGTGAAATTTTGGATTTTAGGGTGAAGAAAGGTTCACTGAGTCATTTTGACTTATAGGAGATTCTTGAGGTGGCAATTTTCAGTTAGTTTATTTTGGGCCTATTTGGCAGACATTTGCTAGGTTCTTGGAATTCAGTGGTGAGCAATACCATTAGCCTCCAACTTGTGGAGCTTGCAGTGTGGTGTAGAAGATAAATGATCACATTTCAGTGTAAATTTGCAGCTATGAGAAGCAGCTTGAAAGCAACAATTCCCAAAACTTTTCAGCACTACTTTATACCCTTAAAAATAGTAGAGAACTCAAAAAGAGCTTTTGTTTTTATGGATTATATCATTTAGTATATTAGAAATTAAAATGCAGATTTTAAAAAATATTTAAAGATAACCCTATTATGTTAATACAACTTTTAATGGAAAACTTTAAATTGGTTTGGTAAGAAGAGTGCCATTGTGTTTGTTTTTACACATCTCAAATGTCTGAATTAAGATAGCTGGGTTCTCTTATTTGCTTCTTCATGCAGTGTTTTGGTCATTTTGTTTGAAACAGAGGAAGAAAATCTGGCATTCATGGATTTGTTAGGAAAAGAAGTACTTTTTATCCCCTGTAAAGATCCTAGGACTACTACACTTTGGGAAACCTTGCTCTAAAGAATGGCGAAAACACATTATTATTAGAGAACATGTGGCTTAATATGACAGGGAGTGCAACTTAGGGAAAGTTTCTTGGAAGCTTTTGTAACCTTCCATAGAACAACTTCCTTGCCTTCATACATGAAGTATATCTCTAAAAGTTAGATTTGATTATCAAGGAAGTTTTTTAGAGCAGTTATCCTTATGATCTCAATCTCTCCAAATTTAAAGGAAGTGGCATGGACCAAAACAAATTTAGGTTAAACTTTTCAAGGAAATACTGGACGAAGTTCTTGTGGAATTGTGGTTTCTGTTAAACAAAAAACCCTGTTAAATCAGTGTATAGACATTCTGGAATTCCACCTTATATTTTGTTCACACTTTTCAGTGCTAATAGGAGTAGTATGTCTGGTGTCAGTGGTGCCAAAATTTTCAACTTCAGCTGTAGGGCTTTCCCAGAATCCCTGTCGTTTTCTGACTGCAATTGAGTGGCAAAAATAAGGCCAAGTTTTTTTTTTTTAAAGTTCTTCAAATGACAAATTGCTTACCTAGTTTCTTTGCATGTACTACAGCCTGCACAGCTAGAGGTTGCATTAAGAAGAAGTTAACTGTTCACTAGCCCTTTTTTGGTAAAGTCTTTGTGTAATAGACACTTACATATTTTTTCCTTTTAAACTTTACATGCTTATTATTAAGTTTTTCTTTTCTCTCCATAGTCCTATCAGTGCTTTGTGTCAGTCATGTGTTCTCAGTTGCTTTCTTGGTGGCAAATTATCATAAATATCACAATGAAAATACGAAGAAATAACTACCTCCCAATTTGCCGTGGTGGAGTGGGGATGAGGGAGTGAAACTGCTATTCACTATTATATCCATCACCGGTGTTGGGTAAAATGGACTTTGTCAAATTATGCTTTTAACGGTACAAATGATCAGGAAAATAATTTACCATGGCATTATGTAGAACCTGTTTGCTGCCCAATTTTGAGACCTATAGACTTTAGAAGTTAAACAATAATGAAGTTTAATAAATGAAATTTAATTTTAAAATTTTATCAGTTGGATATAATAAGTACATGGCTTGAAAAATAATTCTATATGGTTTAATAAACCAGCAGTATCTGCACTATTCTCTCTAAAGGTAAATGATTCTTTTAGACATTTATTAAGATATTTGCCTTCGTATTTGTAAGTGACATGTATATGCTATTTAAAAAAGTTACAAAAACTAATGTTTATTGGTGACTTACTGTGGAAAATAAGGATTTAACTCGTCAGGTTTCCCCCACCTTCCCACAAATTTTGGGTTAAGTCAGTATTCAAATTTTGTATTACCAATCGTGAATATTCATATCTGAGCCATGTATAGAATACTCCCTTATATAATTTTTATTTTCCTTTTAATAACTTAAGCTTTTTTATTTTTTACTTCGTGTGTTACCACTAGTTCATTTCCACCTAAATTTTATTTCAAAACAATTCACAGATGAAGAAACACTAAGTAAACTGATGGAGTGAAAACTTAATAACCAACATACAGGTAAATTAGATGTAGGAAAAACAGACTCTTTAGCTATATTTATAATCTTACAAAAAAGTGTATGAGCATTTAGACTATTTCAGGTAATAGTAAAGAGTTGATTTTCAGTACGTAATGTGCCAAAGAACTACCAAAAGAACAACATTTTCATATATATTTTGTATAAGATAACCACCATTAGTTCGTGTAACCTAATTTTCTCCATCTCCATTATAAACATTGTATCCTTCTGATTCAATTAACTCAATTTTGTTTGAATCCTGAAAAAATACATCTTTAATTTTACCAACAAAACCTTTTAAGAAAATCTCTTGAGTAACAGTGTTTACCTTTTGGCCATATCCAAAGCCCCCTAGATAAGTAATACCACCATAGTTTAGAGAAACAAATTTTGGGGGGGATCAATATCCTCAGAGAGGATTAGATTGCCATCTAGGTAGGCCTTAATAAGAGTGATTTGAATTATAGTGCCATGCATTACAGCAGAATGTAACATGGCTATAAATCATAGGTACAGAGATACTTTCTCCTAAGTTAACTGCTATTTTCAAGGCCCAATTATGGAGACCAGTTACCAGGAAATCATTTTCTTTTGAGCCTTTCCTATCCATACAATTAAGCCTTCTCTTTCAGTAGTACTGAAATTTAAGGATACAATAGTGAACTGAAGGTTTCTTATTCTATAGTGTGGATCAATGTATTTAATGTAAGAATTACTCATAAATTTTACAGTTGAAAATGAAGTTTTCTCACAGTACCTTCCCATTCAACCCAAGGACACAACTGTAAGAGAATGACTGGTCAGGTGTACATATGAGATTGGTGGAGACAAAGATTCAAACCGCACACAGACTGGTCACATGTATTTCCAGTCCACTGTGGCAAACACCTGCAAAAAAAAGGGGTGCTATTCACCCCTACTTCTGCACGCGTACCCACAGGCTGTCCCATCACAATCACCTACATTGGAACCATCTTTTGCTTCCAATTCAGTTAATTGTAATTCTTCATTATTTATAATAACTTCTCAGACACAACCTTGAAAACCTACAGCTTCATTTGCTGTTGCCATGGGATTTACAAGACAAGGATGACACACCTCCAACGTAGAAGTCAGTATGTGTGTCCAGGTAGCTCATTTTAATGTTGCCTTTTTCTGTTACGTTCATCCCATCCAGATCCAGGTAGCCTTCTGCACCAAGTCTTCCGGCTCTAATTACATGCCAAGTGCTTGCAGTAATAGTTATTTTTCAGAGTTTCTAGAATGATAGTTCTGTTACCAAGGTTGTAGCGAAGTTGAACAGAACCATTTACTAAAGAGGTTCATAAAAAATCACCTGCTGAGAAAGAAAACCAGTTTAGTAGCAGTGAAATGTTACTCCATTAAATACTGCTTTTCTGGCCCCTTGAGTAAGTTTTGGTTTTGGAAAAAGAAGGTAACAGGCCTTGGTCATAATTATGGTAGAGCATTTTCTTGCCATTTTCAGATCAAAGTATATGTGTATACATTCACACATTCTTTGTTCTTTTGTTCTGGAATTGGCCACATAAGTTTCCCCTGGTAAATATTTCCCACCTAGTGAATGTATTGTACTAAGTTCAAGTGAGGTTTTCCTTTAATAATTTTAGTTAAGGGTGAATGTGTAAAAAGTAACATTTACTCGAAGCCACTTACTTTGTTTTGACAGATTGGGAAGGTAGGTAAAAAAAAAATAGGAGCAGTTAATAGTGGTGCTCTGAAAACCTTTGTATGTGTTTCAGCCATGCCCTTGGCATCAAGATCTGTCTGCAAGTACACAGACCCCTTGTTGAGAGCTCTGCTTGGGTGTTTTAAAGGCTCCTCGAACTGCCACGATCAAATCTCAGTTTGTGAACCTCCTCCCATACACCTGGCCTCGTCTGGTCTTCCCAAACTCAGCGAGTCACTCCCTCCATTCAGTTCTTCAAACCAAAAATTTAAGTGTGATCTTTGGATATATTCTTTCTTTGATCCACACAAAACCTGTCAAACACACTCTGAAATCAAACATTTATTAGCATTTGGGTTCGTTGTAAACATTTGATTCTGTCCACTTCTACCCTGCCACTTTAAATTTTCTGTCATCTCTAGTATATGATCATCACTCTTCCTTTCCAGTAGATTTTGTGGTCTACATCAAAGCTAAAGAAATCGTATGAAAAGAATTTCTCTTTATTATACTACCCTTAATGGTATTAACTGTTGTTGGAATATGAACTTAAAATCTTTAACATATCGACAAAGTCACATATTCAAACGACTGACAATAAAAGATGTTTTTTGCAGGTTCCTGGCCCCTCTCCAGCTTTGCCTGGAGTGTATTCTCTCCCTGTTTCTGCACTCTGCTTCAGCAATGCTGACCTTGTTAGAGTTTCATCCCCTTGTTTTCAGAACCTTTGCACATACTGTTTTGTTTTATTGGAACACTTCACCCCCTTCCGCCTCATCTAGGTAACTCCTACCTGTCTGAGGTCTCAGATCAAATGCAACTTCCTCAGAGAAGTGTTTTTTTGGTGAGTTATTTTTCCCTATTAATGTTTTAATAGCATGAGTTTTCTCTCCTTCACAAACTTTACCTCATAATTATATAGTCATGTGTGAAAATATCTGAACCAGTGGTCCAGCATGTACATGAAGTTGCAATGAGGCATTCAGAGGAAAAGGAAATGCAGTTCTACAGGCCTGGGGAAAGAATGCATCCCTTCCGTGTAAGATTGTTTCAAGAGGGTAGCAAAGTGGTTTACGTAACAAACCCTGAAGGAATCCTTGAAACAGCATTTTCCCTTTCCCCTAACATTTCACAAGCAATAAAAAGTTCATTCCTTTTCTATCCAGGGAGATTTCCTGGCACATACTACTACTCTTTCCTCTTCCCCCTTTCAAAGTGCCAGGCAGCCTCATCTCCCACATGCAAATAATGTTCTCTCCCCTTGTGGCCCACACCAGTCCACTCTCGGATGTTTGGGAGGCCTAGCTGCTCTATGGTCATACCTATCATTTCCATCTGAGTGAAATGTGAGACCATGCAAAGTATGATTCCCTTTAATCATTTTCTCAATTTCTAGTGACTATAATCCACATCATTACATCTGTTACATGATTAATAGCTGCCTCCTTCACTTTGTTGAAAGCTTCACGAGAACCATGGCTGTATCTGATTTGGCCCAACAGTTTATGCCCAGCACTAGCAGAGTGCCTGGCACATAATGAGATACTCAATGAATAATTGTCGCACTAAGAAATGCCTTTGTATAGTTGTGGGGTGAGATTACTCTGTAGTTCTTAAATACTAGTTTGATGGTATTAAATCCTATAACATGTAAGTTGGTTTTCCATTCATCCAAGAGGGAAGAAATCCAGTTTATTGAATACTTTCTAACATGAACAACATTTTAAGCTAAGGAAAGAGAAGCAGCATTACAAACAGCTTACATAGGAAAATATTAAATACAGATTGAATCTTTAAATTTTTTATACCATAAAAAACTAGAACAGTGAAATATAATTGATACTAAGTTTAAAAACTTAAAGGACTCTGAATATGTTTTCTGGCTTGCAAGTGCACACAAATCAATTCTCTTTCACAACATAATGGAAGAACTTTCTTTTGTTACTTATGTTGTGTCCTATGGCAAACTTACCGTGAAGCACTCCATTGAGATAAAAAATTCTCTAGAAGATGATTAGGAAGGCGGAAGCTGTAAATCTGTATCACTAGTCAAGTTGCCAACCAGAAGAAAGAGCAAGGAGAATTGCTTATTTTCACACGGCTTTGCTGGTACATTCTTCTCTTAAGAAGAATTGACAAGCCCTGACCTCTGTGGCTTGGTTGGACATCCTCCCGCAAAGCAAATGGTCGATGGATTCCTAGTCAGGGCACATCCCATGGTTACAGAATCAGTGGTTGAGGCCCATATAGGAGGCAACCAATCAATGTTTCTCTCTCACATCAATGTTTCCCTCCCTTCCCCTCTCTCTAAAAATAAATAAAATCTTTAAAAACAAAAGGGGAGGGGTGCATTTCTCTCTTGGCCCCAGAAGCTAAAATTGCTCTTAGCTTGCCTGCAGCTTTTTGTCATGCAGGCCTTTTATTTTAGTTGACTAGAAAATGGTGCTGTAGACACAGACTGGCATTAGGATGGGTAAATGTTAAAAGTTTACCATTAGTGGATGGTCCTTACAAGAAAGTGAGCCTGTAAGTGGAATGAAGATCATACACCAATGCACCTTTGCTGTTTCCCATGTTTAACCAGGCCACGGGCCTGCCCGCCCTCCTCTGCGCTGCCATTGTCCCCGCCATGCACCACAGATCAAGGAACCTGGTAGGACCTAACATTTGTGATGAGACTACAGACAACTTATTAAGGGAATTTTGTATACATTTTTCTCTAAAAAGAAAAGCAAAGGTAATATAACATCTTTTATGGTCAGTCGTTTGAATATGTTTTAACTTTATATTGTAGTTGACTAGGCTTCTTAATACATATTTGAGGATTACAAGTGTATCAAGATGAATTCCTGCCCTGGCCGGGTAGTTCAGTTGGTTAGAGCATTGTTCCCGTTCACCTGCATTTTGGTTATTCCAGGTCAGCACACATGGAAGAACCAACCAATGTATCAAAAAAAATTAAAAATTAAAAAAAAGATGAATCCAGCTGCGTTTAATGTATGCTTGACATAATATTGATAATTTTTGTGTCAAAAAAATTTTATGATATTAAATATTTAGCAGAAATGGATAAACAGGTGCCAAAGTCTTATCTCTCCAAAATCAGAGATCTAAAAGGGTAATTTTCAAATTATCCTTTTGTTTTATATTTTACACTATTTGAATTTAAATTATCTCTGAAGAAACACAGAAACCTTGTTAATTGAGAATTTGGTTTGGCACATATGAAAATCTAATTGGCCACTGAAAATGTAAATTTGTGATTTTCAACATTGTGTATTAAGTGGGAATTTTTTATTAACAACTCCTCTTAGCAGAGGATGAACTTAGAAGGCTTGGTTAATGTTTAAATCAGACATAGTTTTTAGAGAAGCTGCAAAATAGTCACCTCTATTTTTTGCAACCTTAAATAAACAAACATTTCACTTGTTACACCACTTGATTGCTAATAAATAAGTATATACCTTTCATCTGTTAAGTACCATTAGTTCAATCTAAGTCTGCAAATGTAGAGCTTAGATTTTTCAATGCTTTAAAGTTTTTATGATCCCTTAAGTGTTAAATACAGCATCAATCAGGACATGAAACTAATAAATCTATTTTCAATTCTCTTTGTAAATAGTGTGTAATGGCTGGTAAAGAGAAAAAAATCTTGACTTTCATGAACTATAATACAATAACATAAAAAAATATGTTCTTGCCTCCTATAAGTGTTAATGTGTATGAGCTTTTAATTTTATATACATAAACACAAGTATGTATCCAGTGCACTGATTGTTAAATTATAGTACAACATTGTTGGCCTGTGGGAGTCCCAAATATCTCTTGATTTTCTGCCATTACCATACGAAGGTTAACGTTGAGGTTTTTTTAAATGGGCTATATAACTAAAGCTGATTACATCTTAATGCCTAGATTTATAAACAGAAATTTTCTTTTTGTGCATGATTCTTCCATTTAGCATTTTCATAGGGAGACTTAAATTAATCATGCATTTAAAGCCAAATGTCAAATCTCAGGAGAACAATTCTCTTGTAAGACATTTTGTGGCTCAATTACGTTGTCTTCTTTCTTTGAAATTACCACCTTTTCTCCTTGAATTTATTTTGAAGGCATTTCACCAGTGCATTGAGATAAAACCATTCTTTTCTAATTCTCTGATATTATCATTTAGCAACATATTAAGACATCTTTAAAAGAATTACTTAGGTTAGACTGTGAAAATAAGAGCAAGAATTCTGTTGACTATGATAGACAAATTGATTTAATTATTTCTCAATACCAAAATTCTGTTTTCTGAGAAACAAAATGAAAAGTCTAAATGTACAACTTAAAAAATACTTTGCAGTAAAAATGTGACTATGCAAATGCCTTTGTCAAAGTTTTAGAGGAAGATATGAAAGTGGAAATTAAGAACAAAGTAATAAGTATCAATTTTTAAAACTGGAACATAGTACTTGGATATTTTTATTCCATATTGTTTTACAGTAATTATGCAATTTTTATAGTTTAAAATTTTTGTAAGCTTATTTTGAGATGTGGATCTTAGGTTTTTACCATTTAGAAGACAGAACTACTTAAAGAAAAATTTGGGGGTCTGTGAATGTGGATGGATTTCCTGGAAATATATCAGCCATGTCTTCCTTTTAAAAATCTTTTATATTTTGTTCCTTTTGATATAGACTATCAGCCATGGCTTCAACCTTTTTTTGATGGAGCATTATAAAGCTGAGCATATACTATATATGGATTTTGCTAACTTTAATTCTAATGAAGCTATTTCTGTTTTATTAACATTTGTATTTAGGGAGCCAATTCATAAACATAACACTTGCAGTAACAAAGAACATGAAGGTATCAAGTGTTTACATATTTATAGACTAGGTGATTTAAAAAATAAAAATATGTCATTACATATTACTTAATAGACTGTTGGGAATTCATTACAATTTTTTTTCTTTCTGAACACAAAAATCCTGCTGACTTTACCTGATTGTGCTTGTAAGTGCTGTGCAACATAAAACAGGATGCCATCTGTAGAAAAAGGCCAGAACTGCAATAGTATATGTGTCTTTTTTCAAATACGAAAGGAAGCAGAAGACATCCACAATAATTCATGGCTCCTGAAAGATGGATCACTTATAGATAAACCTAAAAAACAAAACAAACACCCGAGTTTCAAAAACAGTAGTGCTCATAAATTCAGTAAACTCAAGCTTTTGCTACTTATCTCCCAAGTGTTGCTCCTAGCTGGATATACATTGAACCTTGGTAACCCTTCTAATTCCACTAACAATAGGTGTTTTGTAATGGGGCCAGTAATTGAAAAAACCTTCTATTACCTCTGGTAACTACTGTTCCTGTCACTAGTACTGTGTGACACAAAGCCTCTGCTCTAGATTGGATTATAGATGCATTTGTTCTGAGAATGTCTTATTCTTACCCCAGGAACGTGCGCTTCTTGGAATGTCTTACATTAATAATGCTTTCAAAAAGATAATTCAAGTAGTGGAACATAGAAGGTGTCACTATATGAATTATTCTTCAGTTCTATATTTCTGATTAAAATATAGAGTATAATTAAGTCAAGATACATTTTAGTGATTCTATAAATGGAAACAAATGTCAGTTTACTTGACAATAATTTAGGTCCAGATCTTGTCAGAAAGTGCTACCTCTTGGGTTTTACTTCATGTTAAGCATGAGAAGATTAATTTAAATATGAATTCAAGTCATTATATGGATTTATAGTCCATCAGATATTAGTTGTTGCCTCTGTGTGTAACAGACCAGATGAGAATTCTGAGAGGAATAAGGATAGTTCTTCACTTCTGGCAGTTTTTGTCATGTATAATGTGACAGTGCTTCTCAGAGTGTGCCTGGGCTCACCACGTGTTTTGAGCCATTAATCTATTTACTTGGCCTTTCCTCCCTTTGGACTAGCCTATACTAACCACTGTCACTTTTAGATTGATAGGCAGCTGGTGGGTGTTTATCTAAGAGTTGCTGGCATTTGCTGACTTTTAAGCAACTACATCATTAATTTTGATTACTGAAATTTAGAATGGTAGAGTTTAGAATCACAGGGTGTGGTTGCCAAGAACATGAAGTCCTATACCTCATTCCTAGAGGGTCTGATTTATTAAAGCTGAGATGAGGTACAGGAAGTATATTTTTCAAAAACACCCAAGTGTTTCTGCCATAAACATTACTTAAACCACATGCTCCTAGCACTGAATTAAAGTTTATTTTAACAATACAGGAATGGTTTAAAAAGTGCTCGTCCTTTTTAAATGGTTCTTGTAAGAATTACTAAAATAGGACATATTCATTATAAGACATTTAAACAATATAGAAGAGTGTAAACAGATTAAATTTTTTAAGGTTATTTTTTATTGTATTTTTTCCTTTACCACTTATCCCCTTATACCCCCTTCTATCCACCCCTTTAAAAAGATGAAATTTCATTGTTCTTTGTTCTCTCAATCCCCAGGAACCACCGTTAGCAGTTATTATTGACTATATAGCCAGACCTTAGTTTTCACTGCACATACAATTACTGTGTGTGTATATCTAGTAGTATCTGATTTACTTCACGTAAATAAAACCATATTATGTATAAACTATGCGTAGTATGCTTCTTTCTCTCAGTGATTTATCATCATGAAACTTTGATGTTGGCATATTTTGCCTATTATTTCAACATATAGGTAATTGGTACCCTTTGTTGCTGAATTATGATGATTTTGTACATTAAAGTGTTACAGCTTAAGACAGATAGTGATAGTTCTGATGCCTTTTAGATGTGAGTGGGTCTGCCTGTGGAGACAGGTAAAAGCTACACAGAGGGCTTCAAAGAACTCTGATTCAGTAAGTCACCTCTATCATCACTCAACCAGCTGCAGAACATTTCCGCTATTGTTCACTTTGAGGTAGAATTTGGGAAAAGTTCAGGTTTTCCAGTGACTCGCAAAGTCGTTCTGACTGTGAATCATCTTTAGGAGACTTTGTTAATCAATGTAGGTTAATTAAGAAGAAAACACCAACACACCTTTTCTTGGACAAGGGATCTACTGGGTTCTGGCCAACAGCCGCAGGGCTGGTCAATGTGAGAGGCAGTTTCTGAAGGGATCATTTTCTCAGTGGAGATAACAGGTAATAATTCAAGTGGCTTCCAAATTACATAAGCTTCCCACATGACCTCACTTTTATGACCTTATTTTTAATTTATTATCAATAGGACTCCCAGAGAAACTTATATTTACCATTGTTTCACAACAGTGGCATTGACTAAAACCAGGCCAGCACAATCTGATGAAAAAGAAAGCACAACGGCTGAATCGTGAGGTTGAAATACTTGAATTGCAGTAATCCACCATCTGACTTATGAAATCCATAGATTTCTAAAACAACAGTGTTTGGGGTAAATACAGAGGTGGGACAAAAGTAGGTTTACAGTTGCAAGTATGTGAAACAGTTTATTCTTGTTATTATTCTTTATTCTCGTATTTCCTATATGAACAACTGTAAGCCAACTTTTGCCCACCCTGTATAACTCTTCAAAACACTTAAGAATAGGTGAAATGGGACATCAGAGGAAGATATTTTTACCATAAGCAAAGATTGCATCAGGAAAAGTACAGGTTGGTATATTATCAAAGATCACAGGAAGGATGTGAGAACTTAAGATGTATTGAAAGGACTGGACTTGGCAGGAGGCACTAAGGATGTAGCTTGATTTTTTTCCCCTATGAGGGCCCTTTAGACATGTTCTGTGAGCTCTTTCATTCTCCTTCCTGGTGATACCATGGACAAATTCCTTAGCTTTTTTTTTTTTTATCACTTTCAGGTCTCAGTGAAATGGTATCATGTCAGGTATTAAGAAATCCCATTTGATCTGAATCAACACCCCAATCTCTCACCTAATTCCAAGCTTCTATTCTTTTTCCATAGCTCAGATCTCACCCGAACCTAGAAAATGCAGTTAGGAGGAGAGGTGTGTTTTTGTTACTTGTACAAATCCTTGCTGTCCTCCTTTATCTTGCTGCTTGCTTTGCTGCTTTTAGCTTTTCCAAGGTGACATTGGGGATCAGTGGTAAGAAGATCATGGGAGTGAGTTTCCAGTCTGCTGCTATCTGTCGTCTGTCTTAGCTGTCTAATGTCCTCTGTTGTGTCAGACAGTCTTTGGATCTTTCAGTGTCTCTCAACTCTCCACTGGTGTCTCCGTCTCGCAATTCCTGGCAAAGCTGATGCACTTTGGCAGACTTGCATGGATTCCAGTCAGCTTTTGCCCTTGTGAGGTGCTTCCAACCTCTTTCTGCTTGAGACAGCTTACCTTGTTGGTTAAGGTTCTTTCACAGTGACACGTGCTTGCTCTCCTTAGTTGTGCCTCATGCCTCTTGTCCTGTCCTCAGTGGAAGGGCACCTCCCCCGCCAACTATCCTGCCTCTAGTTCTGCCATTAGAGAGAGCTCCAGCCAGCCTTCTGTCTTAAGGCTACAGGGAGTAGGGGTCAGGCGCTGGTTTTAAATCTTCCCTCACTCCTGGGGATATGGATCTGGTTTTTCTGAGTTCTCTCTGAAACTGACAACTCAGGGAGAAAAATGTGAGTTTTCCCTCTGACAAAGGCTCTTACCTTCTTAGTACTTTTTGATGCCTTTCTCACTTGTTTTTTGGGATATTCCATTGGTTCAGGCAACATCCTCTTCAAAGAAGTTCCTTTCTCTGAACCAACTTTCTCTCTCATAGGCTGGGAATGAATGCTATACTGGGAGTGTCACATTTTGACAGATTCAGTGTGGATTGTTTATCACCTTTTTTCAGCCAGCCTAACACTCTTGTGATCTGAATTGTAGGTATCAATAGTTTGTACCTTTTTATTCCTGTGTATTATTCCATGGTATGGATATTATCAGTTTGTTTGACCATTCATCCATTGAAGAACAATGAGTTGTTTCCAGTTTGGGGCTATTACAATGAAGTTACTATGAACATTCATGTACATATTTTTGTGCAGACCTAAGTTTTCACTTCTTTGATATAAATATCCAGGAGAGTGACTGTTGGAGTTGTATGGTTATTATATGTTTACTTTTATAAGAAACTGCCAAATTATTTTCTTTGGCTGCTCATTTTACATTCTTACCAGTAATGTATAAGGGATTTAGTTTCTTACAGCATTTGGTAATGTCACTATTTTTTTATTTTAGTTTTTTCCAGTAGGTGTATAGTTATACCTCATCGCCCATTAACTCTTTTTAGACTTGTGGGTCTACAGGACAGCTGTTGTTCTCAGCTTCAAGACCTCAGCTGAAACTATTAGACAATAGGAATGGTCAGATGTAATACCTCATTGCACAGTGATTCATATAACCTCTGACTTAAAACAGACTAAGATTTTTTCCAGGAAGGGATTTGGATGTTAGTCTGTAGTCAAATATAGTTTGGCAAGAATATTAGCTTGAACCTAAGATTTATTTTCTGATGGGTTTCGCATCTGCTGGGTGTATCTGGTGAAACGGTGCAGTATCTCCAGGAATCTGTCAGTCTATCAGTATGAGACCAAGAAATTTTCTAGATCACTTGTCTCAAAGGAAAAGTCAGGCAGACAAGTTCGCCTAGTAACCGAGCCTCCAATTGTCAGATAGAAGAGCAGGACAGATTTATGGGCTGTATGGTATTTGACAATTGAATTGGTCTGTTAGTTTTATTCCTGTATATACACAAATTCATCACAGGAAAGCAGAGGAGGCTGCAATTGAAAATGCTGGAAGAGTCATTTTTACTAAAGAGTCTGAAAGACATTGAGGTTTAAAGAAGTATACTGACTAAATACTCTTGAAACGAAGCACAATATACAAAGAAAAAGGTGACATCTCCCCACTTCTGTAAAAAATCCACAATTGAAATCTGGCGCCTTGATGTCTCCTGCAGTGCTAAGTAAGGTCCTGAGCAGGACAGTTGTCTGGAGGTGATGGAAACCACTGGCTAGTGTTTGAGGCAGCAGGAGCATATGTGCTATGAAGGGACCTTTAGGTTTGGGAGGCAGCGTCCTTTGAGAACACATCATCATTTTTTCATTTTAGGTGTTGAACTTGGAAAAGTGCTCTCTCAAGTAGCACACACCAAAGAGTGAAATATAAAAATAAGTGG